TGCCTGTAATCCCAGCATTTAGGAGGCTGAGGCAGGAGGATCGCTGTGAGTTTGAGACCAGCCTGGTCTACATAGTGAGTTCTAGAGGAAAACTGGTTATGGTTGGACTAGAATTCCAAGAACATTTAAAAGCTAATGTGGCCGGAATGGGTATTTAACTGGATGTGAGGAAAACTGACTGAGATGCCCAGAATGGCTCCCAGTCTGCCTTGAACAACTAGGCACATAGATGGTGGGGGTGCCTTGGAGGAATTTAAGACTAGGAAGAGAGGTGGGTGTTATGGTGCATGTCTGCACCAGCACCCTGGAAGGCTGAGGCAGTAGGATCAAAGGTTGGAGCCCACCCTGGGCAACTTAAAGACTTAGTGAGACCCTGTATTAATAAAAATTAAGAGGGGTGGAGATTTAGCTTAGTGATTCTGCTGCCTGCCTCACAAATGCAAGGTCCAGAGTTTGATCCTCAGTACCAAAAGAAAAAGAGAGAGGGAAGGAGGGAGGGAGAGAGAGAGAGAGAGAAAGAAAAGACCTGGGCGTAGTGGCACATGCCTGTAATCCCAGCATTTGGAAGGCTGAAGCAGGAGGATCACTGTGAGTTCGAGACCACCCTGGGCTACATAGTGAGTTCCAGGTCAGTCTCAACTACATAGTGAGACCCTGTCTCAAAATAAAACAAACAAACAAACAAGAAAAGAAAAGGGGAACATAACTCAGTGCAAAAGCCCTGGGTTCAACCCCTGTGCCAAAGGTGCATGGAGACTAGAGAGAAGTTTGAGGAGAAAAGGGGTAAATTCAGTTTGGGGACCTCTTACAGCCCACTGTGCTCTGTCAGCTTGTTGGGAGGCATCTAGAAAGCAGTTGGATATGCAGGCAGGCCTAGAGCTCACAGAGTGGTTTGGGTGAGAGACAGGTAAGGAAGTTGGTAGCATTCAGATGACACTGAGCTAAGGGAGACTAAATGAAGATTAACAGCAGGGAGGCTGAGGCCCATCTGAGGATGGGGAAAGGGACAAAGACCCTGCATGAAAAGAAAACATGTGGCTGAAGAGGTAGGTGGAAAACCAAAGCATGCGTCCTGAAACTCAGGGGAAGGAAAGGCTTTAGGAAGAGGAAGGGAGCCACTAAGTCAAAAGCTTTACAGAGATCAAGCAGGATAAGAACTAAACATTAGATATGGGAGTGATTCAGCAATAGGACAGTCATTGGCCACCTAACCTGGACCAATCAGGGGAGTGGTGAGTGCATAAGGCCACCAGAATGGGAAAAGAGGAGTAGGTGGGTGTGGTTAGGAAATGGAGGTAGACCTCTCTTCTAGAAATTCAGCTCAGGAGGGAAGAGTTGCAGGTGTTGATACAAGCCTATAATCCCAACATTTGAGAGCTAAAACAGGAGGATCTCTGGGGATGCCTAGAGGGGAGCAGAGAGACTATTGTTGGGGAGCAGTTCCTGGGAATGTATAGATCACCAATGGATACATGGTATCCAGGATAGCATTTCTAGAAGTGGGGTCCTTGAGCCTCTTGTAGCTGAATCTGCAGAGGAGTTGGTAAGTTTTTTGCAAATGCAGACCCTTGGCCCTATGCTGGGTTGGGGAGAAAGAAAGCAGTGTGCCAAAACTAGTCCTCAAGGAGCAGGATTATTTATGGGGCGCAGGAGCATCCAGCCCCTTCAAGGTCAGGGGATGGGGTCTCCCAATAGACACTGCACATGGTGGCCTCTATCCATGCTGGAGGGTAGAGAAAGGATATTCAAGAGATTTAGGGGTGGGATTTAGCTCAGTGGCACCTAGCCTGCCTTGTAAGGCCACGGTCCTGAGTTTGCTCCCAGGTACCACAAAGGGGGAAAGGGAGAGAAGAAAAGAGCCAGCATGAAGGAAATTCAGGGCAAGGGTGGAGGTCTCAGCCCTAGAATGCAGCTTCCACTAGAGAGAAGGCCCTGGCTAGCCTGTGGAACCTAATTATTTCCCCTCGGCCTGCGAGGAGAGGGAGTGTCCAGACCTAGCACCCTTTTAGTGGGATGGTGCAGGGGGGCTGTGGGAGTCTCTGCACCACTTTCACCTTTGCATATTTCTTGTGGCAGCAACTCATAATATGGGGTTGACCTAATCCCACACTTTCAGCCCCTCCCATTCTTATCTTCTCAGCCCCTCAGGCTCAGCACTCTACGTGCTCCATTGGTACAATTCCTCCATTCAGAATCCTCAGGGTCCTACTATCCAAACCTTGTACACTGAGAACCCTAACTCTTAGTCTCCTGTATGTTCAGCCTTCTCTCAGCATCCAACCGCCCCTCTTAGAGTTTACTATTTTCTATGCCCTCCTACCCCCTCATTTTATCCCTCTGTATTCGTATTGACCGTAGCCCCCGCTGGTCCCCTCCCGGAGGGAAACCGCTGGTCACTCCTCCCGGGAGGCCAGATGGGCCAAGGCCTGGTGCCCCCCTAGTCCAGCGTGTCCCGCCCCATCCCGGCGGGCTGAGTCAGGAGGCAGGAACTGGGCGGGGGGAGGCGCCGAGCAGAGCTGAAGCCTGAGCCAGAGCGGCTGGACACTAGCAAGCGTGGAGCCCAGGGGGCCAGCACCAAGTGGCCCTGGGCCGGTGGGGTCGCGGGG